TTGCGATAAATTTTAAGCAAATTGCATTTCGTGTACAACAAATTGCAGAGGCGTCGATGATTTTGTTGTTCTCCGTTTCGGTTTACCAGCCAGAGATCCTATCGATGATAGGCCATCACTGATCGTAGGCGTTACGGTAATTTCTTTGGGTGAAAGCTGCTCGTCCTCACTCGATCATAACCTAGAATATGAGAGTATCATTCAAGAGATACTATACGGCAGAAGCATTCCGATTAAATGACCATCGGATAACCGATGACCATGGTTGCGGACATTATCGGGAATAAATCAAATAAACATCCACACACACGACACATGCCACACATACAGAAGCAAGGGGGGAAGCAAGGACGCAGTGGTGACAGGACGAGGAGGGGGGGTTGGAAATTGCATGCGATTGAAATTGAATGGTTTAAATGGTCATTTCAATGGCTGCAATTTAACAAGCCGTAATTAGTTGATTGTTGTACCAAATAAACTTAAATCAACAACAACTGACAATTGACATTTGCATGGAGGACGAAGCGACGGCTTGAATTGCAAGGACCCGCCAGTACCCCGCCTGTCGTATCGTATCCTTCTCTCCCTCCATCTTCATCGTACATAAATAAACAGGCGTTACACTGCTGCACACACTCGCACACATGCATTCGGCGGGGGGAGCTTTTTACCTCCCTACTCTTCCTCTCTCACATGCACACACACACACACTTGACATCACATGTCTGTCGTGTCGGCCATATTGTGTTTTCTTTCTCGCTCTCTGACCGCAGTGTAGCTGGCTTTTGTGCTATTTATTAACCTTTTATTTAATGCTATTTGCTTAAGCGTTTTGCAACGACAACAACCATCCGAGTACCTGATGACAGGCCATCGCCTTGCAATTACCCCCACCCCGGGGCTTTCGGTCTCCATTTATTTCCTTTTTCTGTCGTTTTTTTGTGGGAAGTGGATGATAGTGTGTGTGTTTGGGCTATGTAATTAGGTGATTGTCAGTGGGGTTCAAATGTCGCGTTTTATTTATTTGCTTTGTGTTCTAGTTTGTCTAGTAGGGAAGAGGATAGTAAAGAAAATACGGTTATATTCTTAAAAAGGTTTAATATTTTTTGTAATTTTTATTTTAAAATATTTTTAGCAAAAAAAACTATTTAATCATAAACTAAATTTTATTTTAAAAAAAAAACTCTTAAAAAAGCCTTTTTTTCCTGCATTTTAATTTTCTTTGAAAACTTTTCCACTGCTAATTGGCTGTTACGCACCCTCGCCCCTTCCCATGTCAGGGGAAAAAAACCTCTGTTAACCAAAACCACCTCCCACCACCCCACCAAACCTCCAGCAACCCCCAATGGCATCTGCGGGCCAACCCAATCGATTTCCATGGCGAGTTAAAAACCATTTAACTGTCAATTAAATACAATTTCCACATGCCTGTTATTGATTTTTCTCTCCAAACTGTCGACAAGTGGAACGGAGTTGGAGGCTTGGGTCGAGTCGGCTCGAGAAATGGAATATTGTAATGAGAGAGCCTGACTGACTGACTGACGACGACGATGATTGTTATAATGATGATAATGATGATGGAGGCGATAATGTTGATTGGAGCTGTCGTCACGTGTTAATTGCAATTAGAGCACACCACACACTCTCGACCACCATACAAATAAATTATGCAAATTCCAATTGAGACAAGAAATCACATTTAGAGCCGGAGTTGGAGTTAAAGCCAAATCAAGTCAAATCACGTCAAAATACAAATCACTTCAAAGGGGGCATTGTGCAAGCCGAAAATCAAATTAATAATTTGCGCAACAAATGTTGGCCATTTGTTTTCTATTTGGCTAACTTATGACACAGTCATGTCCATTGTTTGCTAAACGACATAAGACAACCCGGCCGTAATATCCTCCCACCCCTCCCCTCCAACAATTGGAGTCGACAATCCCCAACCAATCCCCCAGTCGCAACATAATAAATGCTACGATTCGATTAAAAGATCAGCTAGGAAAGCAACAAAAACAGTCAAGCCAATAAACAGGGGCAAAAGGCAGCTAATCCAGTCAAGAAACAGTACTGAGTATTTGTTAGATTATTAAAAAAAAAAGCTAGATCTTATTATATGATAATGAAATATATTTAAAATTTAAGATAAAAGTTTCTTAATCTTATTATTATCTGACTAGTCTTATTTGTACAATTTTTTTTTTATAAGAAATTAAGTCTTAAATGCCTTAACCCGCCAACTTGGCATTTCTTTTGGGGCCTTTAAGATTGACAATGAGAGCAGCTTACGAAAGCCATCGGTCCTTTGAGGGGGCCAGACAGAGCGAGATAGAGAGAGACAGAGAGATCACCCATCCAATCCAGGCTTGGTGGAGATTCTGTTTCTGTTCTTCAGATGTTGCTCGTTTGTAAAGTACATACATTTTTGCGCTTCGAACGACAGCAGCTTTAGAGGATCAGAGCTTGGTCTTCAGCTCAGATTCTTTTGGGCCCCCTCTTCCTGCAGGGCCCCAGTCTTTGTTGGTCTCTTTAAACGCAGTTAGCTGCTGTTGGTCTAAAACAGGGACGGATTAGTGTATGATAATATTTAAAATAAGGATATGGTATAAGGCTATGATAGATTACTTAACATATTAGTAGTTTTTTTAATCTTATTATATCCTGCCCCTTGTCATTATTCCCTCGACCTTCTTGAATCCGCTCCTGCTCCATCCTCCGCCTGAGTGAGCAGCTTCATTGGCGTTTCTTGCGCTGCTGCTGCGCTTTGTTTAAATAAAAGCCTCTTTAAGTTTATCTATTGCCGCGCATCTAAATTGTGTGCACAGTGGGGAACAGTGCTAGGTTGCCCCCAACCTCCTCCTCACTCCGATTATGCTATTTGTTGTTGTTGTGCTGCTGCTGGTGGTGGAGCTGTGGCAAGACTAAAGGGAGAAAGAGAGATCTTGCTTGTAATGTTTTGCCGGCGTGCTTTGCTCTTTTGTCGTTGTCGTTGTTACTTATTGCCTGCGTTGTAGGCTTCATGTTTTGATTGTATTTATTTTAGTTTGAGTAACTTTAGTGTGCCGGTTTTTGTTGCTTTTGTGGCAGCCAGGCAGCCTGGCTTGCCGTCCATTTCTGATGAAGATTTTCTGCGCGATTAACTAGCGAGATCGCCTTACGCTCCGCGGCATCTTTTATGTGAAAAGCGTTTCGTGCGGGGCTTTAATCATGCCTCCTCTTGGCTCCGATATCTGCTTGGGTTACTACTTGGAGTAGGGGGTAAATGGGGATCGGGGGACTTATTTCAGACATTTTGAGCAATTGCGTTTAATTTTATTCATAATTCGTGGTTTGGGGTTACGGTACGATTACTTCGACAGTCGTACTTCCTTAAAATGATGCCAGATTATTGCGGAAATCTACAGATACCACTTAGAGAGGAACGACTGTTCCTCTTAATCGCTGTCTGTATAATTGTTTCTTTTGTCGAGGGCTGGAAATTAAGCCTGATTAATTCGTTGGTCGGAGGGGGCTATGCTATCGCAGAGTCGGCATCTGGTAGTCGACGCTTTGTAAGCCTGCAACAAAGTTATTAAAACTGGCCCCGGCTTGGATTGGTTTTGGGTTTTTGGCTTGCATTTTTGGGGCGTGGCACGGCTATCCGATCCGACGTGATAATAAAGCGCAGACAGCCCGAAAACCCACCATGATCCGTGGCTTTATGGGTTCAACAGCAAACAGCGATAAAAAGATCGCTGGAATTCCGATATTTTATGACCAATCTGTGGCCGGTGATAACGAAGAAAAGGTGCAACTTTGATGGTCGATTTGAGATATGAAATATTATCCATTAAACACTCTGTGGACATGTCCGCTTAAGAGCATCGATACGAGATAATGCTAATTGTAGATGCAGCCCTCAACGGGTTTCTTTTCTTATGCCAGATTCCAGCCGAGAGTTTTTCTGATTTAATTAAAATAGTGATCAGCATTCCCTACCTTGAGTAAACCCGTTTTCACCCCACACATGCGGCAGACAACAAAAAAAATGTCATAAATACTTGAAAGGAAAGCTAAATACAGATTTATGAGCACAAAGAGCAGTGCCACAATGCAGTGTGTTGGCCAATTAGACAAGCCCAAAGCATAGGCAGGAGCGTCCAGGGGCACCACACCCCCCCTTAAACTAGTTCACCCAAAAAACTATCATCAATGCTGTCCGATGGGATGTGTGAAAGCACAACGACAACAAACAATAAACAATAAAAAAACATCAAAAGCAATTATGAAATCACGGCAGATGTTGGAGCAACAAAAATTGTGGTGGTGATTTATAAAGCGCAGCTAACAACAACAATGACATCAAAAAAGCGCAAAAATGTTCGTTTGTATCGAAAAAAAAAAAACAAAAAAAAATACGTAAGAGAACCAAATCGGCAAAAAGATGCGAAAAGGCCATCAGGAGGGGATGGGGATGCTGTGGCATGTGTTATACATAAACGTGCACACATACTACCATATGTATATATATATATAGCAGGATGGAGGATGCCACTAAAAAGGACTGCAGATGCCAGACCGCAAAACGGTTGAGTGTAAGAGAGAGAGGGGAATGCAGAGTGTGGGGAGAGCCTACATAGAGTGAGATTTACGGCTTAAATGCTGCAGCGCATAATCAAAACGACAAGGCGCAGATGGAAATGGAGTGGAGCTCTGTTCTTATTTTATTTTTTTTTTTGGGGCGACGACGCACTTAATTAACAAATATACAAACACTTAGCATAAGCAAGCCAGGCCGCCATAACGGCCAAGAGAGCGAGCGGGACAACGATATAGCATCCGGTTCGACGCCCCACAGACGCCCATTGGATGTTCGAAAAAAACGCGAGCGAGATGGAGAGTGGGAGAGCGCTGGCCAAAGAGAGAGAGACAGAGAGCCAAGTGGTGTGGCGACTCTCGGGTCGCTCTCCGAGCTGCCGCTCGAACTCGAAGCTAGCGATGGAAAATTTGAACGAGAGAAACTGAACGGAACGGACGTTAAAACTGGCGAGCGGATGGCGTTTCGGTATCGTTATTCGGTTATCCGTGGCTTTATAATTGTATCTTGTTAATCGCACTTTAATCCGCGTCCTTTCTTCGTCGAGTGTTTGCTTGTTTTACTTAAAAATCACTTATTTTTATGGTTTACGTTATTCGACTAATGCTGTGAAAATGCCGACGGCTTTTGCCAAATGTGAACTTTTAGGCTAAGAGACCCCCGAAAACTGATGTCCACTTTGGCCAGCAGCCGACCGCCCCCGCTCAAGCTGATAATTCCGACTTTGGAGGAGGAGGAGGATCCCGAGGAGGAGAGGCGAGCGGCAGACCGGTCTATCGGAGGAGGCGGTGGAGGAGGAGGTGAGGTAGCGGCAGCCATGCATCCGGATTGCCTGCCTTTGCCGCTGGCCCAGCACGGCAGTTCCCCGCAAGTCGATCACGAGGAGGAGAACACGGAGTGTGAGGAGCATCTCAACATCGAAGATGAGGAGGTGGAAGAGGAGCACGAGCAGGATTTGGATTTGGAGGATCCCAATAGTTGCTGCAGTGAAACCAGTGTCCTGAGTGTGGGCCAGGAGCAGTCCCAGGCTGCCCAGGCGGCTCTATCGGCTCAGGCCCAGGCCCAGGCCCGGCAGAGGCTGCTGATCAGCCAAATCTACCGGCCGTCGGCCTTCAGCAGCACCGCCGTCATGTCCCCCAGTGAGGCCACGCCCCTCTCGCCAGATGATCTCCTGCATTTGCCGCCCGGGAACAGTAGCTTCCAGGAGGAGTTCCTGCGGAAGTCCCAGCTCTACGCCGAGGAGCTAATGAAGCAGCAGATGCACCTAATGGCCGCCGCCAGGGTGAACGCCTTGACCGCTGCGGCAGCGGGAAAGCAGCTGCAAATGGCCGCAGCTGCGGCGGCGGCGGCAGCAGCAGCGGCCGCGGTGAACGCACCCACCGGCCAGGATGCCCTGGCCCAGCTGACGGCCACGGCGCTGGGCATCGGGCCGGGTGGGGCGGCTCATCCGCACCAGCAGCTGCTCCTCCAGCGGGAACAGGCGCACCAACACCTGCAACACCACCACAACAACAACGAGAATCTGCACGAGAGAGCCCTCAAGTTCAGCATCGATAATATTTTGAAAGCGGACTTTGGGTCGCGTCTGCCAAAAATGGGAGCACTGGCAGGGGCAGGAGGTGGTAGTGGCGGAGCCGGTGGAAATGCCAAAAATAGTGGGAGTCCTAGTAACAGCAAGAGTCCTTTGAAGGCTCCCAAGAAGTCGGTGAAGCCCCTGAACCTGGCCCAAACTAATGCCGGCAATGCGGGCCTCAGCTTTTCCAGCTCCTTGGCCAACATTTGCAGCAACAGCAACGATTCCAATAGTACGGCCACCAGTAGTAGTACTACTGCCACAGTGGCTCCAGTGGACCTGGTCAAATCCCCACCACCGGCGGGGGGAGCCAGTGGAGGAGGAGCAGGCTCGACGGGTGGAGGAAGCAAGTCTGGAGAGGATTCTGGGACACCAATAGTGTGGCCAGCGTGGGTCTACTGCACCCGCTACAGTGATCGCCCCAGCTCAGGTGAGTTTCTCAGTGATTCTAGTGTTAGATATTACTGATAATTTTTCTCAGTGTGTGGCTGTCCTCTATCCATCTTGTATCCTCCCTCACTCAGTCACTCGAGGAGACGAGTTGTTGAGTGCTGGGCTCATAAAGCGGTTGTGCAAACAAGCGACAGACACACACACACACAGTAGACGGAGCTAAACCACAGCAACCCACCAACCCATCCAGCCCACAGCTCATTAGTTAGCCAACCACCAAAAAAAGGGGGAGTTCATAACAGAGCGAGAGAGAGAGGGATAGTGAGCTAAGAGAAAGGGAAAGAAAACACTCACCCCAGAGTGAAGTGTCTGCTCGAGTGGTTTTTATGTCCTTATGGCTTATGTAACATAACTTAAGCTCATTATGCTATCGCAACAACGAGCCCCTGCGTCCAAGTGCGTCCAACCCCACCCCAACCACCCTTTTTGGTAGCAACCCTCCCTGCTGCAATCATGGCACACACTCATGAATTTAGTTTATGCCACCGCAGGGAATTCGTAATCGTTTGCCTAATAATTTCATGCGGCCAACTAGCTATGCTATGGGGTGCTATGATATGCCTTCCTTATAGAAGGGGGCTATACTGTGGGTGTTTCGTACTCCATATGTTTTTGGGAGTTCATTTAATGGGGTGGCATACAAGCCATTTGGATTCCTCAGTAGATTTTTGGGTAATCCCCTGGAATCTCTGACAAATCCATGGTGTGGCCTTTTATTAGCTTGAATCATTCACGTTTCAAGGTAGGATAATCAAATTATATGTCATTACTATTATTGCATTAGCAATCATTCATTGTATAACTGGGCAATGATTGAATCAACTTTAATAGCTTTATTAAGAAATTAAAAGACGTTTAAGGCCACGTTTTCTGGATTACGAATTATTGACATTCTTTAAGCTTTAAACTTTAATCCATAACTTATAACTATAGGCATTTAAAAACCTTAAATACATGTAATTCCATTGGCAATTTACTTATTACCCTGATGAATGTCAAACCCATAATTAGCTTTTCTTTTTTGGAGTTAAAGAGGGTTATAGGGGGGTAGCCTGAGCCCCCCTCGAGTGCATAAATCTACGCTTTTGGGTGGGTTTTGTCGCGCTCGCTAATTAACTTGAAACGATTCGTGCCCCCACCTCTATAGAGTCTTTCCTGCTCGCTCTTTCCAGGCACTTCCTGTCTCTCTCGCTCAGGGGTTTTAAGGTGTGTTTATTGTTGGGGCTTTTTCCAGCTAGCTCTTTTTTTTGTTGGATTTTTTGTATAAATTTTAGCGTGACTAAAACGAGATCTCGATCGCACTGCTGTGGTTCCATAATTTGAATGAATGTTGTAGGCGATGGCGACGTTGTCGTTGTTATCGTAGCTTTTGTTGTCTTTGTTATTATTGTTGTGGCAACTCCGATTCGGAAACTTTATTCGGAGTCACTATATGGAGTGGCTGAGCTGCCCCCAGCTGCAGCGGCATACAATGATTTAGCGTGAGATTTGCAAGCAACGTTCAGCTACAAAATCAGCGAATTAAAATGCCAGCCCCGAATGGAACTCATAAATTTGTTGCTTTTGAAAAATTGCCAAGGCATGGTTGGCTTCAAAACTTTATATATATTATTCCAACAAAGGTGTTAATTTGACAAATTAATGCAACATATTTTGCGGCAGCGTAGGCGATCCAAAAACAGTTGCCAAAAACGTACATTCGCCAAACAAATTAGTTAATTGCATCGAATGGTAATTTTTGCTCCCCAATTGATAAATGGCCAACATATGGGGGGCGACTGTCTGGCTGCATATGTCTCTTTGGTCTAAACCAGCGGGCCATTTTCGACTCAAATTAATGGCATTATAATAAAAGCTCTAGTGAATTATTTGAAAATCGATAAAAGATAGCATTTAATCATGAATGTGGAGAGGCAATATTTTAAAGATATTACAAGGTCTAAGATATATATCCTCATAAGTGACTTGTGGAAAAAAGATTATGGTTTTATGGTCTTCCAGTAAAAAATGTTTAACTCACAATGTCCCTTTTTTTATCATTTTTAAACAATTTAAACAAAAAATTACCACAGTACTTAAGCCATCATTATTTTCAGAAACAAAAAGTTCTCATGATGGTGGTTTTGAAACCTTGTATTTAAAGTCTAAAGGGCACTGGTGGTTTCTTTGAAAAACAAAGGTAAAAAATGCCAAGACCATATGGTTTCCTTTCCTTTCCGACTTTTAAACACAAGTATAAGTTTAACAAGTTGCTGGAGTCTTTTAAGCAACAAACGATAAACAAATTTGTGTGAAATCCCACCTCTCCGATCTGTGGAAAGTGGAAAGCAATTTTCGCATTTGTCCGGCACTCGGGGCTCATTTAACCGGTAGCTGGGACAACGGACAAGCGGAAAAATCGGAGCACTATCGGAGGAGCATCTGGAGGGCAGTAGGGGGACTTGGGAAAAAAAAACGGGAGCGACAGCGATCGCCACTGAACCATTAAGTAATTTTCAATTTGCGGCAGAAAGGCGAAGAAACAACAACAATGACAACCTAAACAAACGAATTTCAATGCAATTACCCCCCCAACCCAACCATCCAACCATGCCATCAAAGAAGACTCCTCTGTTGTGGCATCTCGGGTTGGAAAATTGCTGGAAAAATTGTCTTACCTCGGATGGCTATGCATGTTCTAAATGGAAAATTTACTTGCGAAATTGCTCCATATTATAGTCAGGGGGCTAGAGGGTAAAAGTGAGCAATTGCAGGTCATCTCTTTGTGTGTGTTAAGTGAAAATTTATAATGATTATAAAGTGATAATATACCTGAGCAAGTACCAATTAAATTGAATTGAAAAACACTTTACTTCCAATACTTTAATTTATGGATTTGGGTCTAACATGACTGCGAATTAGGGAGAGTTCCTTGTGGAGGCCACAATTATTATTGGCAACCATCAAAGAACTCAATCAATGATAGGAACACGAAAAGTTTCTTAGCCCAAAACGATTTTATGGCCTAAGTGCGCAATTTGCGTTGGAAAACGCAACAACACCAAGAACCTAGAACCCAAGAACCACGTTGTTTATGACCCAAATGCATTCATAAATATGCGAGGCTGTCACGTCATATGATAATCACGATATCCAGAGACCCCCAGAGAGTACCTGGGAAACTCGAGTCCGCATTTCCCAATCCCCTTTACTGTTTGGGGCCTAAATTGAGCCATTGAGGCATGTACTTATAAGCCATTTCCTAATAGAACACTTTAGGAAAGTTCTTGCCACTCAACTGGAGAGATAGGAAGGTAAAAAAATCATTTACTTGTGGAGGTAATGGAGTGGTTATTGTGGGTCAGGTGGAGTTCATAACTCAGAGAAGGCCATTAGAAGCCCTTTTCAATTTTTTACAGTGTAAAACCTAGGCTTAGTGGTAGAAATGGCTATAGCAATCTGCCGCAGCGATTTATGAAGTGACAAAAATTAATTTCAACTGTTAACTTATCGCACAGCCAACAAGCAGCTTACAACAACATCGACATTACCACCACCATGCAACAACTGTAACAGCAACAACCACTGGTGGCACAGTGCCTTTTAAGGCTGTGGCAACTGCAAAACTGCCGCAACTGGAAAAAGCGGCAATAGCAGCAGCCATGCGCCTTGGTAATAAAACTGTCAGACCCGTGGATCCATCGCCCCCTGGCCCGGGCGGTACGATAAGAGCCGGCGAGCAGCGAAAAATGTCGTTTAAACTGTGACTGGGACTGGTGACCGCATTTGGTTAATGCGAACTGGTGCCGTCAAGCGCTGAACAGTTAATAATGGCCTGAAATTGGGCATTGGCTAGGAATTTTGTAATTACACCCAAATACCCTATGAGCTATAAGCCTAGTCTGGTTCGACCAATTTCACACTCAATCGACTGGCAGCCGGCTTATCTATCATTTGACTTTAAATCTTGAAATCAAACAACAACAAAATATGGAAAGAAATATTATAAATTCAAAAATTTCAATTTGGTATGTAACAGAAACCTCAAGATCACAACAATCAGGTCTCGACAACGAGCTTATAGGCCCAAAAGACCACCCAAGCTCTGGCCAAAAGCCAGAGACAAGCCAGGCCAGAAAAAATACAAAAAAAAACAAAGCCAAAGAATTGAAATGAAATGAAAGACAAGTTTCCGCATTTGGGTTTGGGATTTCATATTGTATAACTTGGGCATGGCATATAAAAATCATTTTTATAACTTCATTTGTGTTAATTCGAAAACGAGCATGGATGGCGGGCAACGTGATCCGAAATCAAGGGGTGTGGAGGTATTTACAGCTGTCAAAATATTTTCTACAAGCAAATGACTTCATTCATCAGCCAAATAATAATATTTCGAGAGACGTGGGTGGTTCCGGAATCAAGCTGATTCGTTTTTCAGACAGTCAGTCAGCCAGTCAATCACTGGCACACAAAAATATGCATCAAAACTAAACAAACAAATAATCTACCATAAGCCTCATTATTGCAGACAGGGCTGGAATGCTGCCCTGCTGCAGTCGAACAACAATAATAATTTTTATCGCATTCTAATTAAGCCTGACGGCAGATATATGTATATATATGTAGTTTGGGTTTTGCTTAATCGTTTATTTATTGCTCACACTCACAGTCGTCCGGGAATTGGGTTCTGTCACTAATAATGAGCTTATAAAAGCCAGCAGCAGCCACAGCAGTGTTTCCAATCAGGTTGTGGTCATGTCTGCCTACTCGATATACGATTTGAATATTTCAATAGATCTGGCGATCAGATCGAGTCGCATTTGTGGTTCGACTTTATGGCCCGCCAGCCTCTTAATTGAACTCATTTTTCAGTTCGGTAGCTGACACTTAACGAATTGTACTATTTTCGATCTGAACTTATCTTTTAATTGGATGGAATTGTATCACAAATATGGCTAAAGATATAGAAGGCTTATAGCCAACATTGGGTGTTAA